GTAGTAGTAGTAGTAGTAGTCGTAGTAGTAGTAGTAGTAGTAGTAGTAGTAGCAGTAGTAGTAGTAGTAGTAGCAGTAGTAGTTGTTGTAGGTAGTTAGTCAGTCGTAGTGTTTGTAGTTTGTAGTAGTAGTAGTGTTGTAGTTCCTGTACCTGTAGTAGTTTGTAGCTTCAGTTAGTTAGTAGTTAGTTCGTAGTAGTAGTGAGTAGCAGCAGAGTAGTAGTAGTAGTAGTAGTTTTTAGTAGTCCAGTTAGTAGTAGTAGTAGTTGTAGTAGTAGTAGTAGTAGTAGTAGTAGTAGTAGTGGTGGTGGTGGTGGTCGGTGGTGGGTGGTGGTTTGGTTGTTGTAGTTGTAGTTGTAGTAGTAGTCGTAGCAGTCGTTCCGTATAGAGTAGTTTAGTAGTGAGGCCGTTTAGCCCAATATCTAGTAGTAGTAGTAGTAGTAGTAGTAGTTGTAGTAGTAGTAGTAGTAGTAGTAGTAATAGTAGTAATATTAGTAGTAGTAGTAGTAGTAGTAGTAGTAGTAGTAGTAGTAGTAGTAGTAGTAGTAGTTGTAGTAGTAGTAGTTGTAGTAGTAGTAGTAGTAGTAGTAGTAGTAGTAGTAGTAGTAGTAGTAGTAGTAGTAGTAGTAGTAGTAGTAGTAGTAGTAGTAGTAGTAGTTGTATAGTAGTAGTAGTAGTAGTAGTAGTAGTAGTAGTAGTAGTAGTAGTAGTAGTAGTAGTAGGAGAGGTGGAGGAGGAGGAGGGGTGGAGGAGGAGGAGGAGGGGGCGGGGAGGGAGGAGTCGGAGGAGGGGGAGGAGGTGGGGGATGAGGGTATTTGGGATGAGATTAAGGGGGGGGGGGTATCAGGAGGAGGAGGGGGAGAGCAGGAGGACAATGCGACCGATGGATACCAAAGACTTCTGAGGTAGATCTTGGGTGTCCAGGATCCATGGTGTGCTTCTAAGTGCGAAATGGTCGTAACTTTCGTCTGCTCCTGGCAGGACCAGCGGAGTGGAGTTGTACGGGGATCCAGTTGAGACCTCGCGGCTCCATGGGGGGGGGTGGGCTGCGAAGTGTGAGTTTGTCGCTATTTTCGTTGGCTCCTTGGAAGTCGCGCGGAGTGGAGGTTTACGAGGGCCCATGTGATACCTCGCGGCTCCTTGAGGGGTTGCGAAAGGTGCAGCTGTCGTCATTATTGTGGGCTCCTGGGAGGTTCGGCGGAGTGGCGTTGTACGGGGATCCAGTTGAGACCGCGCGGCTCCCTGGGCGGCTGCGAAGTGTGATGTTGTCGCCACGTTCGTGGGCTCGTGGGAGGTCGCACGGTGTGGAGCTGTACGGGGTCCCAGTTGGGACCTTGAGGGGATCCATTGGGGACTTCGCGGCTCCCTGGGGGGCCGCGAAGTGTCAAACCGTCGCCACTTTCGTGGGCTCCTGGGAGGTCCAGCGGAGTGCAGTGCCATGTGGATCCCGTCGAGACCTCGCGGCTCCATGGGGGGCTGCCAAGTGCGCAGGTGTCGCCATTGCCGCGAACTTGAGGGTGGTCAGTCGGAGTCAGCAATCACGCAGATCCCGTCGAGACCTCGCAGCTTCCTGGGGTGGGTGGGTGAGCTTCGAAGTGCGTAACTGTCGTCACGTTTGTGGGCTGCCTGCGGTGTCAGGCGAGTTCGCGGCAGTTGTCGTTGGCGCCTCCTGGCGCGGGCGCCGACGAGATATAGAATTGACCGCAATTGCTCGAATCCAAAAGGGCAGGAGTTCTCATAGCGCTCGGCGCTGTCCCGTCGTCACGCTGTGCTCGGCGCTGTCGCATCGCAGCTCGCAGGGAACCGCTGCACCACGCAGCGCGTGGAACTGTCTTCTGTCCGCGTGGCCTTCCATCCTCAGCTTCTTCTGGCCCGCCATGCCACCCCGTGCGCTTGCCTCGCCCAGCGCGACGCGCTGTTCTGGCATAGAGCGCATGGCGCTGTTCTGTCCCACGTATGTAGCACTCGGCGCTATTGCCTTTAATGGACATGGATGTCCCCGTTCACCCTCCTCCGTATGCTTCTGTCTCCGCCCCTATCGTGCCATTCCTGCATGTTTGTTTGGCTTACCTCTGAGAGCTCACTCGCGCTTTGGGTCCTTCACCATGTTTGTTTGCATTGGGCGGTCCCACAGATACCCGCCATACGTTTGGAACAGGGTTGGGTACGTCACCAGGTTGCAAGTTAGTAAGTACGGTTGGCCCCCGTGCCCGTTGCCCCAGGTGTCTTTCAATTGAAGTGTCCTCCCGCGGCGCGCACACTGTTACAAGGGGAAGGGATGCGCTTCAGATTGTGTCGTTGGCCCCCCCGGTTTGCCACAGCAGCGGCTCCCGTCTGATATTTCAGCGCGATGAATTTTACATCGCGCTTTCGCGCGGGAGTCTCGCGCACTTTGTCCCGGAATCGCGTTCAGGCGTGATGTTTTTCCCGAGTCGTGTGTGGTTGAGTTTTCATGTATGAAGAACTTTTCTTGTTGATCCGCCTGGTGCCCAGTGCGGTTTCACAGGAAGTGCTCCTCCCGGGATTCATATTGCGGTTCAGAATGCGTTATTGGCCCGCGAGCTAGAACAGCAACGGCTCCCACCCGAGACTTTTTTAGAATTGCACTCTCGCGCGGGACTTCCGCTTAATGTATGCAGGAATCACGTTTTCGCTTAGCACGTCCCAAACACCCCGCCCTCGACACTCAGGAAGCAGGCTCCCGCTCTGTCTTTGCCTACGATGTCATTGGGATTCGCGCTATCGTTCGAGATTTCTTCGCGATCCATGCAGGCGTGCGCTTGAGCAACCCGCTTGCTCGACCTGGCCGCCCAGGCCCGCCTTCCCGACCCACCCGTTGGGGTCTGCACCGCCTGGTTCTGCCACGTGCTTTGTGCCCCTAGCCCCCTTCCTGCTACTGTTTCTCTCGTGATTTCATCCGTCCTCTCTTCCATTGTTTTGGGGGCTGCGCAAGGCACGCGTGGTACCAATGCGCTAAAACAGTGACCGTTTTGGGCTCAGGAGGTGTTCGGGTTTTCGGGCCGCTCCCAAGATTCATGCCGTCGAGCCAATTTGTGGCCTAGGCCCGCCATGGCCAGAAAACCCCCTCAAACAAATGCATGCTCTCTCTATGATAGCACGATGGCTGTACCGCCAAGGGGGCGCGATCGAAGACGAAGAGGGCGGGCATGGAGTGTGTGGGTTGGGATTTACGTGCTGAATTGCACACGAACAGGTAAGAGCGAACAGTCTTAAAATGATTGTTTATGTTGCTGCTGTTGATGATTTTCCATTTCTCAGAGTGTAGTGTTTGATCCTCCATCAGGTGCCCATAGCGTTTTTCAATTGAAGTGCCCTTCGCAGGGTTCGCACCCGGTTTCTTGCAAGGGCAAGTCTCGAACCTCAGACTGGAACACTGGCCCCCGATCTACAACAACCACGGCTCCCGCCTGATACTCCCTCACAATGTATTGAATCATCTCGCTGTCGCACGGGATTGTGAAGGTCTGACGGCCGGTGCCGCCGACCCTGAAAGACATCGACGACGACCAGGAGGTGGAGGAGGAGGAGAAGGAGGCGGAGGAGGAGGAAAAAGAGGAGGAGGCGGAGATAAGGAGGAGGACGAGGAGGAGAAGGAGGAGGAAGAAGAGGAGGAAAAGGACCCCCCTGAGACCCCCCCCTGGACCTGGGAGGGAGGACTGGAGGAGGACCGGCGCAGGAGAGGAGAGGGGAGGGGGAGGAGGATCTCCTGGGACGGATGCGTATCTGACTTCCCTCCCCCCCCTGGGACTCCTCCCCACATGGGGTGGAGGACCCGAGGAGGACGGGCGCGCCGGAGAGGGACCGATGTGGGAGAGGAGGACCCCCAGAGAAGATGCGAATCTGACCCCCCCCCCTCCTCGGGACCCCCCCCTCGCCGGGGAAGTGACAAAGGGAAGGGGCTTCCCTTTAACGTAATGAGAATGAGGGTGGAATTCCCTAAAGCTGCGAACCCGTTCCCCGAACGAGGAAGGGTGCTCTGTCTCTCTCTCTCTCTCTCTCTCTCCCCCGACGGGAGAGGAGGATGGGAAGGAGGGCGCGAAAGAAAACTCCCCGTCGACGGGGCCGGACAGACACCCCACACACGCCGACAGGGTCGGCGGAATTCTTTGCAACTTGTGGGGGGGTGGCGCTTTCGCGTGGGACTTCCTTGTTGCAACGCCGCGCCCCCGACACTCAGGAATCTCGCTCTCGCCCTGGACTTCCTCACGATGTCCCTGGGACTCGCGCTGTCGCTGGAGATTTCCTCGCGATTCATGCGGGGCTCGCGCTTCCGCGACCCGCCCGCTGGACCCGGCCGCCTGGGTCCGCCCGCCGGTCCGCCAGGTAGGCCCCGCCTGCCCCGCCACTCTGGTTCCGCCGCGTGTTTTTCCGCTCCTGGCCCCCCCCCCCTCCTGCCAATCCCTCTCGTGCTCCAGTTGGCCCCATGCCTCCTCCCTCCCCTTTTCTGTCTCGAGGGCTGCACCCCCAAGAGGGTACGATCGGAGACGAGAAGGTCGGGTGTCGAGGGTGTGGGATATACATGTCGAGTGATGCTCGAGCAGACTGGAGCGATCAGTCTTAAAATGATGGTTGTTCTTATTATCGCTGTTGTTGCTGCTGTTGAAGCCACTCGCTAGTTGTTTTGCCTTGTTGTCGTTGCCTCTCCTGCGACCGCCGCGACCCACCTGCGACCCACCCCGCAACCCACCCGCGGCCCACCCGCGACTCAGCCACATTGCGTTGACTGAAAATCGGCATCTGCGGCGGGCTCTTTGTGTAATGTGTGAAAAAGTCGGCGCTTGCGACGGGCTTCTTCAGAGCCTCGCAGACTGCCGACGACCCCGCCGACCCCTCACTCATATCCGCAACTGCGGGGACTATGATGCTTATGGTTTGCGCCAGGGTTCTTAGCATATGGTGCGCGTGACAGCCGCTGTGGCATCTACGCTGCCCAGTCTTCCCTCTCTTCGTCGTCTTCTTTTTCTTGCGCTTACCGTACGCAGCCATTTGGGCCCCAGCCTTTGTGCTTGCAACATTGTGTTGTCTTTGTGGCCTGCTTTTTGTCACTCGCTTGTCGGCATTCCGTCTTCGCCACATGGTGTTTGTGAATGCCGACGGATCTCGCATGGTGGCGCTGGTAATTGGCAGCGGGTACAGAGCCAGCAGCCTTGGCATGTTCGAGAGGATGCACGAGTTGGGCATATGCACTGTCGTCGTTGATGGCGGGGATTCTTGGGCTCGTGAGATGGAGGTCGCCGGTGTGGTCCACAAGGTGGTCGTCGTTCCAGGCATCGGACATCTTCGGCAGGACGCTGAGCTCGCCGATGCAGTCGTGGACGCCTTGCGGGCCGCATCGATTGGCAACATTACAGGTGCCTACAACGCGTACAACAAGTATTTGCTCTTGACCGCTTTGGTCGCAGAGAGGCTCGGTGTGGTGACGAACAGCTACGAGGCAGTGCGGAGATGCGTGTTCAAAAACGAAACCCGCAAGTGCCTCGTTGCCAATGGGCTGGAGCCGTGGAAATCGTTTCCATGTTCCACGACGCAGGACATTGAACAGGCTGTGGGTCAGATTGCGTTCCCTGCGATCTTGAAGCCAGCGAAAGGTTCAGCCTCGGTTGGTGTCGTCAAAGTCCTTTCCGCAGAGGAGGCCGTGAAGACATTTGTGAAGCAGCGCGCCGAGCGCAACATCCAAGACGAGGTTTTCCTCCTGGAGGAGTACATTGATGGGCCCGAGTTTGGTGTGGAAATCGTGATGCAGCACGGCCGCCTCTTGTTTTGCTCTGTCATGGACGCCGACAAGCAGAGCTACGGCCAGTTCTTCCAGGGCACGGGCCGCAGCTTCCCTACTGCCCACGGGCATGTTGTCGAGGCTCTTATTTCATCTCACTGCGGTGCTTCCGTGCACGCGCTCGGCTTGACGACGGGAGTTTTCGACCTTGACGTGAGGTTTTCCCCGCAGTGTGGCGTGCGGATCTTGGAGGTCAATGCACGCATGGGCGGTGGCTCTGTCCAGAGGATGCACCAGCATGTTTACGGCATGGATTTGATCGAGCTTCATTTGCAGACGTGCATGGGCATCTCCGTGGAGCATGTGGCCGACATGCATCCCTTGGAGCCGTCGATGTGCTACGAGGCGGGCTGGCTGGAATCCCCGCATTCTGGCAAGGTGTCAGGCATTGGCATCGATGCCTTCGCGGAGAGATTGCGATCCATGTTCAGGGAGCATCCGCACGTGCTGGAGTTCGTCCCCCTCTGTGACGACGGTGATGCCATCAACGGCTACAAAGTGCCGGGCTTGCCGACTTCACTGATCATGGTGTTCGCAAAGGGAGCCGAGAAGAGCTTCGCCCAGCAGCACCTCGCCGGGGCGCTCTGTGCAGCGGAGGAGCGAATCGCGGATCTCGTCGAGCCAGACGCTCCGCTTGCCCACCAGGCGGCGACCAGCGTCGATGCTGTGGTCACGGCGGCAGTCGGCACGGCTATGATTTGCACGGCCGCCGTCTTGACACACCAGTTGTTGTTCGAGCAGGTGATGTCTCCGAAGCGGCACAACGCTCAGGCCGATTTCACGTCGATCCAGCCGCTGGAACCACTCGAGGCTTCTGCGGAGCTTCTGCCCTTGCCTGTGCCCTCGTCCGCTTGCCAAGCACCAGCGGTCGTGCAGTAGTCTTGAGTGCGCGCTCTTGTTTCATTGATTGGTCAGTCTTCGACAGTACAGTGTCGTTGGACGCTGCCTCAGTGGGTGGCTTGATGTGGCTTGTTCTCGCGCCCAGGGCTTCCTTGTTAGTGTTTTGTGCGCGCGCGCGTGTGTGTGTGTGTGTGTGTGTGTGTGTGTGTGTGTGGTGTGTGTGTGTGTGTTTGTGTGCGCGTGTGCGCGCGCGTGCGCGTGGTGTGTGTGTGAGTGAGTGAGTGAGTGAGTGAGTGAGTGAGTGAGTGTGTGTGCGTGTGTCATCGACCCTGGCGGGTTACGTTCAGAGACGAAGCGGGTGGAAGCCGAGGGTTTGGGGTACGCAATCGCTCTCCTCAATTCGCTGCGTGCCAGCCCCATGTGCTGGGGGCGCGGGCCGCTCGTCGCCCGCCCGTGCGGGCGGGCACCCCGCCCGACTCTTTTTGTTGGTTCTCTCTGTCTCTGTCTCTGTCTCTCTCGCTCTCTCTCTCTCTCTCTATTTCTCGACCTCTGGGGGGCCCTCGGGAGCCTCTGGCGACTGGCGAGTGCTGAATCGGCGTCGTTCCTCGGGGGGCGTTAAGACGGCCTTTGGACCTGCGCCTCTGTGATCCCAGGGGGCTGGGTCGTTGACGCTGCATCTTCAGGGGGCCTCGTCTGCTCCCAACATCGGTGTCTTCTCTTGTGCCCGACGCGGGCTCGATGCGGGCTCGACGCAGTCCGGGCGTGGATTGGTCGCAGACTCGACGCGGTTTCGGCGAGGGTCCGACCGACCTGGACTCAACACGGCCCCGACGCGGAGCGGCGGGCGCGGCGGGACAGGCAAGGCCCCCCGAAGGTGCAGCAGAAGGAATTGTTTTGCTTCACAGGGTGGCCGCCTGGTGCGGACGCCGAGGAGGCGCCCGCGGGCGGCCCCTCCTTGGGCGCGGGGGCGCGCCCCGAAGGCAGACGTCCTCGGGGCCCCCCCCGCCCGCTGGAGAGCGAGCTCCCACGAGCGGAGGGCCCGCGGGCAGCGGAGCGTCGACGCCCCCGGGGGCCAGGCCGTGGGCCAGCAGCAGCTCGGCTGCGGGGCGGCGCCAGCTGGCGGGAGCAGGCCGGTGTATAGGAGCCCGTGCCCCGTCGCCGGCACGGCCGCGCCACGCCGCCACGGAGAGGCCCTGCGCGCGAGGTGCGTGCTCGGCCTCCCAAGAGGTCGCGGGCGAAAAAGTTGAAAGGAAACGGCTGTCTGGCATGATGCGCCCCTCGGGGGACCCACAAGGAGCATTGGGGGGGCAGCTCGGGGCAAGGCCAGAATGGATCCTCAGCTTGCCATCCCCCCGAAAAGAACAGCCTGGGCGGCGAACCCCTGGGGAGGGAGTCGGAGGACGAGGAGGCCTCCTCCTCCTCCTCCTCCACGCAGGGTGCGGGTGACGTCTAGTCGGCTGGCGCCAACGACCTGTGTGGACCCATCCGGCAAGCGTATCAGTGCCGCTTGCTCGGATCTCATCGGGCAGTCAGCAGTCGAAGTTCGGTTGTGGGTAGAATCAGAGCGTGAATTGCCTACCCCGCTTTCGCTTCCAGGCAAAACCAAGTCATGCCACGCGCCTCCTCGTCAAGCGGCCTGACCAGTACAGGCCGCAGTTCGGCATCGTTTGGCATCTCTCGGAAGCGAGGGTGGTCAAAAGCGAGGTAGGCTTGCTCTCCCCCTAGAGAAGCCGGGCCTCGAGGGCTGCCCTTGCCTTCTCCGTGCGCGGCCGGAGAGGGGCGCGGGTCGAGACGCCGGCGGCCTTCCCTGGCGTTTTGCCGTCGGTTCGGTGGGCCTCCCTGGGGAGCTTGTCGGCGCCACGGCCGGATCCGCCTCGAAGAGCGGGTCAGCATGGACCCCAGGAGGAGGAGGAGGAGGAGGAGGGAGGAGGAGGAGGAGGAAAAGGAGGAGGAGGAGGAAGAGGAGGAGGAGGAGGAGGAGGAGGAGGAGGAGGAGGAAGAGGAGGAGGAGGAGGAGGAGGAGGAGGAGGAGGTGGAGGAGGAGAAGAAGGAACAAGAGGAAATGGGAGGAGGAGGAAGAGGAGGAGTAGGAGGAGGAATGATGATGATAATTATATTGTAATGATACTAATAAGAAGAAGAGCAATAGTAATAATGTGCGACGCAGACTGGTAATAATCACGATAATCAATCATTACATTACGAAGATGAATGATATTATCACTAATAAGAATAAGGATAATAACAATGATACGAATGATAGTACGAAAAATGATAAGCATACTAAGGATGCTCGTGAGAGGACTAATAATGATAATACGAGCCATCCATAATATAAGCGGCGTCCGGGGCCCCGGGGCCCGGGGTCGCACACTTTTTCCAAATTCCCCCCCCCCCGTAACCGAATTTGCCCCCTGGGGTGCGGGGCCCGTTTCTGGGCATCTAAGGGCCCGTTTTCGGAGTCCCGGAACTTTTTTCGGTTCCCCGGGGCGTCCGCCAAGGCTTCTGGGGACGGCAAGAAGCCGCCGAGACGGCCCAAGAGCGATCCAAGCCGCCCAAGATGGCCCCATGATCGGCCCAAGAGGCCCCCAAGAGGCCCCAAGGTCGCTCCGAGAGGACCTCCAAGAGAGCCCCAAGACGCCAAAATCATTGACTTTCATTGTGCTTTTCAATATTTGTCGTTTTCTCACGTTTTCGAGCCGCCGACACTCCAAGACTGCCCAAGAAGCCTCCAACGTCGCCGCAAGAGGCCCCCAAGACGGCCCAAGAGGGCCCCAAAACGGCCCAAGAGGCGCCCAAGACGGCCCAAGAGGGCCTGCACAGGGCTTGAAGACGGCCCCGATATGGGCACAAGAACGCGAACCGACATTTCGAGCTTTCCGCCTCCAGAGGCCCCCAGGAGGCCCCAAGAGGCCCCCAAGAGGCTCCAAGAGCTTCAAAAGAGGCCACAAAGATGCCCACGAGGCCCCAAAAGCTCCAAAACGCCCCACCAGAGGCTTCAAACCTGCTTCCAAAAGGCCCCCCGAGAGGCATCCCACGATATTATTCCAGCGAACATCCGAAAACCTCCAACCCACAACCCAGACACGGTTGCGGGATGGGCCCAGAACTGCGACCTCTGGTTCGCATGGGGGGCTGGGGGGGCCTTGAGGGCTCCACGAGGTTTCAGAAGGGGCCCGGGAACCCCCCAGAGGCTCCCAAGCTGGCACAAGATATTCCCAGGAGGCTCCAGAAAGCCCCCCAAATGCCCGAACAGAGGCGCCCTCTGCCCCAAGAGGCCCCCAAGAGGCCCCAAGAGACTCCCAGGAGGCCTCCACGACGCCCCAAAAAGCCAGCAAAAAGGCTCCAGAAAGACCCGAGAAGCTCCCGAGAAACCTCCACCGAGTTCGCAGGAGGCCTCTACACAGACCCTCAGAAGCCCGCCAGAAGCCCTTCGTCCTCCATGCTCCGGAACAGCCCTTCGGAACACGTGGCCTTGGCTGCACCCCCCGACCCGCCCACCCAATGTCGAGGCCCGAGGACGCCCCCATGACGCCCGCAAGACGCTCCGGAAACGCCTCTCCCGCACGTGGATCAGGTGACACTGATGCTGATCGTCGGTGGTCCGTCGTCGTCGTCGTCGTCGTCGTCGTCGTCGTCGTCGTCGTCGTCGTCGTCGTCGTCGTCGTCGGTCGTCGCTGGTACGCTACAGGCCAAACCCGTCCTTGAACTTCGCAGTATCCGCCCGAAAATCACGCAGGGTTGAGAGGGAGGAGCCCGGAAGAACACACGGAAAAGGTCCCATGGAAATCGACACCGTCTTCGGAGTCGGGGATGTAGAACTTGAGCGCGCGCGAAGCGCGCGGGTGTTTCTAGTAATAACAGTTAACAGTGATAATAACCAGACTAAGACGAAACATCCTGATGCTAATAATAAGAGTAATGATACTAAGCACAATCAGACTAAGAAGAAAACGAATCATACTGATAAGAATACGAACAAAAATCATAATAAGAACATAGCCAATAAAAACGACACAACTAATTCTTTTAATACTAATGATAATAAGCCGAATCATACAAATAATAATAGGAGGAGGAGGAGGAGGAGAAGGAGGAGGAGGAGGAGGAGGAGGAGGAGGAGGAGGAAGAGGGGGGGGGAGGGGGGGGAGGAGGAGAGGGAGGAGGGGGGAGGAGGTTCAGGGGGGCCGGCTCTGAGCGAAGCTGGGCCGGGGCCCCCCTGCGATGCCGGGCCTCGCTCGTGCTCGGAACGGTGCGGCTCGTGTGGCGTCTCTACGTAGAGACGCCACACGAGCAGCACCGTTGCGAGCACACGGGCTGCGTTTCGCCGACGTTCTCTTTCGTCGTGCCGTAGACAGCCCGTCCACGCTGGCACCTCGAAGGCAGCAGGTCTGCACGACGGTGTCGTGCAATTGTTTCACAGTGTTCCAGCGAAGCACCATACCATATATGTATATATACATATTCCATCCTCCCATCTACGTCTCCTCCTCCTCCTCCTCCTCCTCCACCTCCTGCTCCTCCTCCTCCTCCTCCTCCTCCTCCTCCTCCTCCTCCTCCTCCTCTTCCTCCGCCTCCTCCTCCTCCTCCTCCTCCCTCCTCCTCCTGGACTCCTCCTCCTCCTCCTCTTCCTCCTCGTCCTCCTTGGGGGGGGCCTCGGGCCTTCGGCGGGGGGGTGGTTACGTCGGGCGCGTCCCTCGACGGGGGGAATAGCCAGAAATAGTCAAAGAGTAGTTGGGATTCCAAATGTCCAGTAATGTCAAACAGTCGTTATTCAATCATGTCCTCAATTATATGAAAGCAATCGTTGTTCAACAAGTCAAATGATACCAGAGAAAACCCCCAATCAGATTTTCGGTTGGGGCTATAGGGCTATTGGACTATAGGGCTGTAGGGCTATGGGGCTATAGGGCTATATGGGCTATATGGCTATAGGGGTCTAGTGCTATAGGGCTATTGGGCTATAGGAGCTATAGGGGCTATAGGACTATAGGGCTATAGGGCTATAGGGCTATAGGGCTATAGAGCTATAGGGCTATAGGGCTATAGGGCTCTAGAGCTATAGGGCTTTAGGGATTTAGGGCTATAGGGCCATAGAGCTATAGGGCTATAGGGCTATAAGGCTGTTGGGCTATTGGGCTATAGAGCTATAAGGCTATAGGGCTATATGGCTATAGGGTACCCGGGCACCCCCGGGCACCTCTGGGCACCCCCTAGCACCCGGGCACCTGGGCACCCACGGGCGCCTGGGCACCCGGGCGCCCGGCCACCGGCCACCGAAATCCTAGGGCACCGGGCACCCACGGGCACCCGGGCACCCAGCCACCGGCCACCGAAATCCTGCCGCGCAAATCCTGACCCTTTAGAGTCCGCCAGGACCCCTACAGAGGCAAGCTCTGATTGGGGAAAAGTAGTCAAGCAATAGATATTCAAACATGTCCTCTAACAGGACTCAATATATAACACTTCTACTCTACAGGGGACGGTTGTTGATTCTTTCTGGCCATTTTGAAGATGTTGGAACTACTTTTTACCCTTCCTCCACAATCTGCCTGTAGGAGGACATGCCCGACCTACGATGGGGTTCCTGATCTTGCTCCACGCTCGTGTGGCCATGGTTTCCGACTGCATGCAGCACGGGGGCCTGCGTGTTGATCGTCGCACTCTTGCACTGTAGCACCTCACGCCGCGCGTGGGCCCATCAACACAAAAAACAAGATTTCAGTCTTGCAGCCAGATGCGGTTCTGAGCCACCTGGGCAAAATGACATCGCCCATATTCGATGTGCGTCGCCTGAACGGCGAGTCAGTATCGCGCGCTTCGGATGGTTTGAAGCCGAAATGAGAGAAGCATGATCTGGTCGTCATGCGAGGCGAACCCTTGTCGAGCGCCTGTTGGACTTGCGGTGGATGAGTGCCAAACGAGTGACGTCACATGTCCAGTCCTTCTCTCCAGCTCGCCGCGTTTTCGTACCGCCCCTGTCTACGTTCTCATCGCTGCAGCTTCTACTTCGCACTCCGCGGACAGGAGGAAGCAATACCGTCTAGACAAGGTTGGCTCAGCCCTGCGCTCGCCTACCCATCCGCAGACGCTGCCACTTTATCCGTCTTTCCATGCGCGGTCCTACATCTTTAGACAAGGCCCGCACCTTCTGAGAAGCAGGGGTGCTTCTGAGAAGGCTTCCCCCCTCCCCCTACCCCCCTCTGCGCGTGGCCGACTCTCGCTCCTCCGAGTCTCTCCCCATCGAGTCCTGCTCCTCCTCCTCCTCCTCCTCCTCCTCCTCCTCCTCCTCCTCCTCCTCCTCCTCCTCCTCCTCCTCCTCCTCCTCCTCCTCCTCCTCCCCCTCCTCGC